TTGTGTGTCGCTTCTTATAAAAAGTGGTTTTATTTCCAGGAGAGGCTCCAGCTGACCGGACCTGCATGTCTTTGAGAGGAAACTGGAGCATCAGGAGGGAAAACACTCGGTACTCAGTAGATTTCCCTTTTCTTTTAGACGCAGTGTGATTACGTGGACTTTACCACCGCTTTATAACTAACACAAGGCCACGTCTACAAGTGAACATTAAGTTCAGAAGTGAGGATCTTTCTCTGTAACGAGGATTTTTAAAAGTACACCTTATCCAATGCAGTTTGGCATCTTTTTGTGTGACTTTTTTTTGTCTGTTAGAAAAGAAAGGTTTATACAATATACATATATACTGTATATACACACACACACACACACACACACACACACACACACGCTGGTCATATAATTAGAATATCATCAAAAAGTTGATTTATTTCACTAATTCCATTCAAAAAGTGAAACTTGTCTATTATATTCATTCATTACACACAGACTGATATATTTCAAATGTTTATTTCTTTTAATTTTGATGATTATAACTGACAACTAAGGAAAATCCCAAATTCAGTATCTCAGAAAATTAGAATATTGTGAAAAGGTTCAATATTGAAGAGACCTGGTGCCACACTCTAATCAGCTAATTAACTCAAAACACCTGCGAAGGCCTTAAATGGTCTCTGTCTAGTTCTGTAGGCTACACAATCATGGGGAAGACTGCTGACTTGACAGTTGTCCAAAAGACGACCATTGACACCTTGCACAAGGAGGGCAAGACACAAAAGGTCATTGCAAAAGAGGCTGGCTGTTCACAGAGCTCTGTGTCCAAGCACATTAATAGAGAGGCGAAGGGAAGGAAAAGATGTGGTAGAAAAAAGTGTACAAGCAATAGGGATAACCGCACCCTGGAGAGGATTGTGAAACAAAACCCATTCAAAAATGTGGGGGAGATTCAGAAAGAGTGGACTGCAGCTGGAGTCAGTGCTTCAAGAACCACTACGCACAGACGTATGCAAGACATGGGTTTCAGCTGTCGCATTCCTTGTGTCAAGCCACTCTTGAACAACAGACAGCGTCAGAAGCGTCTCGCCTGGGCTAAAGACAAAAAGGACTGGACTGCTGCTGAGTGGTCCAAAGTTATGTTCTCTGATGAAAGTAAATTTTGCATTTCCTTTGGAAATCAGGGTCCCAGAGTCTGGAGGAAGAGAGGAGAGACACACAATCCACGTTGCTTGAGGTCCAGTGTAAAGTTTCCACAATCAGTGATGGTTTGGGGTGCCATGTCAGCTGCTGGTGTTGGTCCACTTTATTTTCTGAGGTCCAAGGTCAACGCAGCCGTATACCAGGAAGTTTTAGAGCACTTCATGCTTCCTGCTGCTGACCAACTTTATGGATATGGAGATGCAGATTTCATTTTCCAACAGGACTTGGCACCTGCACACAGTGCCACAGCAACCAGTACCTGGTTTAAGGACCATGGTATCCCTGTTCTTAATTGGCCAGCAAACTCGCCTGACCTTAACCCCATAGAACATCTATGGGGTATTGTGAAGAGGATGATGCGAAATGCCAGACCCAACAATGCAGAAGAGCTGAAGGCCACTATCAGAGCAACCTGGGCTCTCATAACACCTGAGCAGTGCCACAGACTGATCGACTCCATGCCACGCCGCATTGCTGCAGTAATTCAGGCAAAAGGAGCCCCAACTAAGTATTGAGTGCTGTACATGCTCATACTTTTCATGTTCATACTTTTCAGTTGGCCAAGATTTCTAAAAATCCTTTCTTTGTATTCGTCTGAAGTAATATTCTAATTTTCTGAGATACTGAATTTGGGATTTTCCTTAATTGTCAGTTATAATCAAAATTAAAAGAAATAAACATTTGAAATACATCAGTCTGTGTGTAATGAATGAATATAATAGACAAGTTTCACTTTTTGAATGGAATTAGTGAAATAAATCAACTTTTTGATATTCTAATTATATGACCAGCACCTGTGTATATATATAAAAAACATATATATATATATGTATATATATAAAAAACATATATATATATTTGATGAGGTCATTTAAAATGTTAAAACATCGACACTAACCTGTTTGTCAAGATTGCAAAGGACATACAAAGCACATTTTGTACCTCCTGTGCATAAAGTGTTAAATGCTATTAGAAATACAATTTAGCATTTTCATCAAATTACAATGTAATAAGTGCTCTAAACCTTTAGGATGCAAATACATCGGTTCATATTGCAACACTATAAAATGTATTTAATTGCACCTATTGGGCCAAACAACAAAAATAAAAAAAATCCCAATATTAGGAGAATACTGAATTGTAATCAAGAGTCATATCCTGTGTTTGGAAACATTGAGAGGATGAAATTTGTAGAGCTTTGCAGAAACACTGTTTGTTCAAATGAAACTTTTCCAAATACCGACGACCAAGTCTCACTTTCTGGAGTTCCCTGAGAAGTCCGGCACTGCGTGTTCAGTCAGCGTGAGGCCTCGTCTGTGGGGAACACTCGCCTCAGAACCCACGGGGATGACATCACAGACGTCCGGTCTGCAGTCCGAGCTACAAGTTACTTAATTCCTCCCAGAGACCACAGTCCTACTGGACCAGCTGAACCGCTTTAGTCCAGCAGGCTGTTTGTTACCAGGTGCTGCCTCACGGACTTCGAGGGTTCAATCTAAGATATCACTGAACATCTGAAACCTGTTAGCAACTACAGCAGCCATGACTTCAGGACAGCTGTTAATTGTTAAACGCTAAATTGTATAAATGCTCGATAGAGCAAGGTGTCGTCATTACCCGCCAGTACGGATGTAGTACAGATTTAGTTTAGAAAACCTGATGTATGAGGGGAAGAGATGCTCAATGGCAACTACAGCAAACTCCACCTGCAGGTGAAGACCATGAGATGTGGATGAAAGCTCTAGAAACGGCAAGTAAATAGACCATTAACTTTCAAAAAGCCCGTATGAAACTTTGACGCGATGTGAGTTAATGTTCGTTGACATATTTGGGGTAAGTATTTGCATATTGTGACTGGAAAATCACCATACCTATACAAAAAACAAACAAAAAAAAAAAAACATCCACACCCGTGCACTCCACAGAGCTGATGTTTATGAAGTTCCTGTGAATCAGCTTCACAAACAACCCGACATGGTCCTCTCACGTCTCTGTCCTTGTGACGAAAGCTCATAAACGGCTTTATTTCTTAAGGAAACTTAAGGCTAAATTCACGTCCCAAGTTCTTGTCAACTTTTAACAGAAGAGCAATAGAAAGCATCCTGACGGCAAACATTACAAACTGGCATGTGATGTGCACGACTCTACAGCGGGTTATTTAAAAAAGCCCAGATCATCATTGGTACCCATCTACTCAGTGATATTGGTGACAAGAGGTGCCTGCAAAGAGCTCAAACGATATGAAAAGACACTTATCACCACCGTCACAACCTGTTCACCCGGCTGCCTTCTGGTAATAGATACAGAAGCATCAGAACAGCTTCCTTCGTCTGGCTGCGAGACTCAATTCATCCTCCACCCTCCATCCATGATATCGTTTTTTTGTTTTGTAGCAAAATGGGAAACAATCTGCATTTTGCTGTGCAACCCTGTTGTACAATGACACTAAAGTAACCTTGTATCCTTGATAAGCCCGCTCTGATTGTGGCTCCGGCTGTAAACGCACAGTAGAAGTGATCTGTTGTGGGGCAGAACGTAGTATTTGGGATCAGAGATGCCGGTTCCACACCAGCGGGACAGTCGGCCTCCAAACGGTCTTCACAAAAGCACAAGTTACTGGAGTTTGTTTTTTTTTTTCTTTCTTTTATTGGCAACGATCTTTATTATCTCTTCCAGGTTTGGATGTGAAAAGAGGCTTTAATTTTTTTTACTTTAATTAAATATCTTTTTTTTTTTAATAAAGTAAAGCAAAAAAGTATTTACAAATTTTCAATTAAATTGTGATCAATGACTTGTGTTTGGATAATTACAAGCACCTTCTGCCGGCTGAGGAGAGAAAAATATAAATACAGGGAGAAGACTGCCACTTTGATTCAGAGGAGGAAATGACATGGCGTTCATGTTCGCATTACTCTTTGAAAAAAACAGTTATATATTTACAGAACTCTCCTGAAATGCATCTCCACTCATGGAAGCAGAAAAGGCCGTAGGATTCGTCCTGTTAAACTTTCTTTTTTTTTTTAAAGACCTTTTTCATTAAAGTGGATTTTTACTCTCGATACTTTTCAAGTTTCAGTATTTTATCTTTTTAAAAATCCGACACCAGACTGCAGGAGGGTGCAGCCCCTCGCTCTCTGTTTCCTCAGTCAACAGTTTGTTTTTTGAAGCGCAGAAAGCAGCGGGCACACTAAGAGGGCGTATTGGGGGTTGAGGGGTGTCGGGGGGAAGCGTCACCCCCCCCTCTCTCTCTCTCTTCCCCCCCCACAAGCAGCAAAATGGTCAAAGTTGGTCGCCCGGCTCCTCGGTGACACCGTCCTCGTAAAGTCTGTGCGAAGTCCTC